AGTTTTGTTCCCGGTGGTATTACTACCGCAGACGCCCCCCCATCGAACCACTACTACCACCCACTTTGGGGATTGAACTGTCTGCAGGTAGACGAAGCCATATTCGATTTCACGTGGCTGAACGATGGTATCCCCAGGTTTTGTCGGGACGAATGGGTGGAGCATAAAGGTCCAGAAGATGCCCACATGAGACACCATTGTTTCCAATGCTGACTTGATTTAGCTACTGGAGGGCTTCTTTTCAAGTTTTACTGGACCGTTCTGGCGCCGCAGTAGCGTTATGACTGGACCCTCATTGGCACTGCTGGGAGTTATTGGCGCCGTCTTGGGCCGAAGACGATGACGCGGCCTTCCTCTCACAGTCGAAGGTAGGATGGAGGAGGCAAAGGAGGAGGAACACCCAGGGAGAGGAGGAGGAGTACGAGGGCGACGAGGGGAGGAGTGGGGGAGATGAGGAGAAGGAGATGGACGAGAAGGGCGGAGTAGGAGGAGGAGGAGAAGGACGAGGACGACGACGACGAGGACGAGGACAAGGACGAGGATGAGGACGAGGACGAGGAGGAGGAGGAGGAGTGCGAGAGATGAGGAACAGGAGAAGGAAGAGAAGGAGGAGGAGGAGGAGGCGGAGGAGGAAGAACGCCACATGTTCACACATAAGGTCTGGTCAACGCAAAAGGAGGAGGAGGAGGAGGAGGAGGAGCTGAGTGGGGGGAGAAGCGACGGAGGAGGCATCCCAGTTGGCCGTTCGAGACCCGCCCGGCCGCGGCTCCGGGCGAGGAGCCTGGGAGGCTCAGAGGAGACACCAGGCGTCTACCGCTTCCCCCGTTCCTCCCTGGACTTGCCAAGGAGACTCGACATGCTTGTGCTTGCACGGCATCGCGCATCCCCCACACACACACACACACACACACACACACACACTGACACCGCTTGGGGGAAAGGGGGGGCACGGCCCCCCCCAGGGGTAAAGCAGAGCCCTGCATCGGGCAGATCGCGGGGAGGTCGACTGTGAAGGAGGCGGTGGAGGGGGCCGAGGAGAAGGAGAGGCAAGGGAGAAAGAGAGAGCGATGGGGAGGAGGATTGAAAGCAGGAGAGGGAGGAATGATGAGGAGGAAGAGGAGGCAGTCTAAGAGAAGCCACTCGAACTCCCGGCCCGCCCGCCCCTGTGAGGCGGCGAAGGTGGCTTCACGCCGCCCGCGGCGGGTTGCCACGACGACCAGGCGTGGACCGACGTGGACGGCGACGGCTGCGCGGAGTATGCCGCGGCGACCGCGCCGCGGCGGAGAGTCTTCCTCTCGTCGTCAGCGTCGTCGTCGTTGCTCCTCCTCCTCCTCCTCCTCCTCCTCCTCCTCCGCCGCCGCAGAGATCTTCCAACTAATCCAGTTAGGTGGATGGGGCTCGGGAGGTCGTCGGACTACGGGGTGGCGGGATCGGAGCTCTCTCGGAGGGAGTGTCTCGAGGCCATTGCTGCTGCGTTTTGCATGCATCATCGCACCCGAGGTTTCGCTCAGGCTGCCCCCATGGACTATCGAAGAGCGGAATCGGTTTGCAGTATTGCCCGTATCCCGATGGAGCGCGAGCCTGATCGGCTCCTCCGTGTTGACTATAGCCGCCGCAGGTCCTCCTGCGGCTCCGAATCCATACGATGTTTTAGGACATAAAGGAATCTTCCCGACATCTATTAGATCCCTTCGGAATTCTATCGGACTCCTTCGGAAATCCATTGGAACCCGATGGGCATGCACAGGATTCCTTCGGATATCCGTAGGATTCCTGCGACACTTGCGGGTGCTCGTGGCGGTGAGTCTTCCCGCCAGAGGCGCCACCCTCGCTGCGCCCGAGCAGCACCGTGTGGCGAGCTTTCCCGCGGAGCGGGTCCTGGCCCCTGCCTCTGCACGGACCTTTTTTGCGTGGCCTCCTCTTCGGGGAGGTCTCCCGAGAGTTGGACTTTACAGCCTTATAGCCCCAATCAGGTTTGTCCAGGCGCGAATGCGGGCTGCGCAGGTGGCGATAGTGGTAACGATGTTGCGCGCAGAAAAGACCCCAGCGCCACTATGCGGGCGGGAGGCCCCCGTTCTCCTTCTGTTCCCACGCAGTGGGTTCAGAGTTCGTGGTGCGGCCTCTGGCAGACCATCACGGTTACGTCGTCTCCTCCTCTTCCGCCTCCGCCTCTTCTTCCTTTCTCCATCTCTGCGGTCGTCTTCTCCTTTCTTCTCCTTCGTTCCCTTCTGCTCCATCCTCCCTTCTCAGCAGACCCTCCCTCTTGCACCATCAGGCGTGTCGGTAAACCGGGCGTGTCGGCTCGTTGGAAAATGCTTTAAAATTTGCGAGCCGAAATCTCCAACAATTGCTCGAAGGAAAGTGCCCGTCATCTTCAACAAGTTGATCTGGCCTTAGCGTCGCACACATTCGATTTAACAGCTTCCATGCGTTACACCGACGAAAGGCGGGCCGTTTTCAAAACGGGCCCTCGCTTTAGATTCGCGCGCATTCGTCTTGAAAGATTCAAGCAGCTACTTGGGTACAGGGCGGGTCAGGGACTTGTTTGTAGCGTGTCGCGCCGCCGCTTCTGGTCAACCACGATTCGGCGCTACACGCGAACCACGTCCCAGCAAGCCCAGTCCCCAGACGCCAGCTTCCCCAGACTTCCCAAGCCTCTCACCCCGCGGAGCGAAGCGACACGCAATCCGCTTGCAAGGCATAGGCTGTCGCCTAGCCGCCGCAGAGATGCCAAGCAAGAATGCCCGACTGCAGCACTGCTCACAAGTCACACGGATGGATCTTCGTTAACATATCCCAAGCCGGCGTACCTAAGCAAGAGTTTCAACACATGTGCATCAGCTGCACGGATGCATGGCGCTTCCTTTTCAAAGCGGCGTTGCTGTTGGGCATCATCTGGAACGCCACCACCACCTTTGCCACACCCCTCCGCACTCGACGGATGGAGCGCAGCCTCCTTCAAGACGGAGATCCCGCCAAAGTGGCGGGCCCGGGGGCGCTCGTGCTTCAAGGGGGCGCCCTCTGCCGAGTCAGAGAACGCTTGCAGGGACTGCGCTAAGACGGGAGTCGAGACGTGAGGGATACGGTGGAGTCGTTGATACCCATTAGGTTCACTTCGGTCTTCGTCATTCTCCGTCTCCTCCCCTTCCTCGTTGGTCTCCTCCTCCTCCTCCTCCTCCTCCTCCTCCTCCTCCTCCTCTCCTCCTCCTCCTCCTCCTCCCCTTCCCCCTTGGTCTCCTCCTCCTCCTCCTCCTCCTCCTCCTCCTCCTCCTCCCCGGAGCGAGCGACACACCCGACGACTAACGTCAGGCGCGAGAGACCGCTGGCCGGCATGTTCCGCGGAGCGCCTGCTGCGGCGGGGCGGGCGAGGCGAAGGTCGCGCGGCTCCAAGACGCGTCGCATCGCAAGGCGTGCAGGGGGCGCTCGAACGAGGCCCCATCGGAGGGCACCAACTATACACCAACACCGATCTTGGCCCAGGGTGATCCTGGCCAGGATCGGTGTTGGTGTATAGTTGGAGCCTTCCTACCCCATGCCTGACAGCGAGGCCGATGGCTCCAGAGCCTCCCGAGAGAAACTGGCGAGCGGGCCCCCCGCAGCCCGGCGGGCGGGCCTCCCGATTGGGGTTCTGGTTCCAGGAGATGTTCGTGGAGTCGTCTGGGATCAGCAGGGTCTTCTCGCGATGTCCTCGGCAACCCATAGCGGTTTCCTCCGCAAGCCTGGGAATCTCCCCGGCACACCCAAGGATTTCCGAGGGAATGCAAGCGACCTCCGTGCGATTCCGCCAGGAACCTTCGGGATCCCCCGGGTAACCTGACGGATCTCCGAGAGAATGCCAAGGATCCCCTCGAGATTTCGAGATCTCCTTGAGATTCCCTTAGTTTGGGAACCCAAGGATCCCAAGGATCCCCTTAGTTTGGGAGTCCTCGAGATTTCCTTTGGAGTCCTCAGGATGCTGCGCCAGGAATCTTGACACATGTCCAATGGAGTCCTTATGATCCCCACAGGGTGTCTTTAGGAACTCCGAAGGCAGCCTGAGGAAGTCTTCGACGATCCTCTGGATTTCTTGGAAGCTTGAGAATTTGTTGTTTAGGGAAGACGCCCTGTGGATATCATGGGGACCCCTACCGATTTCCATGCTCGAGACAGGTAGCCGCAAGGAGGCCCACCGGATTTCTTCTCGAGCCCGGTCTCTCTCAGGATCTCCGACGGCATCTTGGGGCTTCCCTGGGGGCATCTCGAAGATCTGCTTGAGGTGCCCCCGTTGGCTCTCATCGCGCGCACGTCGCGGCGGGCTCCGCCACCCAGCGCCTCGCGGAGAGGCCCCCGTCGATACGACGCGGCGTCCCCGCGCGAGGCTCCCGCTCCCCGGCGCGCGCGCGCCCGGCCCTGCAGCGAGGCGCCGCCCCCGCCGCTGACGCGGACCAGCGCGCGGTCGCGGGCGGCCCCCGCCGCTGCACCGCAGCCGCGCCCCTCTCCCGAGGGAGCCCCCCGCCCGCGGGGCAGCTTCCCAGCGCGCCGCCCCCGCCGCGGAGCGAGGGAGGACTCCCGGCGGCCAGCTCGAGGGGGGAGTGGCGCAGCCGGGCCGCGGAAGTAGAAGGGCCAGCCCGTGCCAAGGAGGGGCTCTGAAAGTCGCGCGGGAGCCGAGTCGCGGCCGAGGCCCGCCGCGGCCAGGCAGGCCCCATCCGTTCCCTGCCTGGCGCTCCGTCTGGCAGCGCGTCGGCTGCATCCGACGAGCAGGCGGCCCCCCGTGCAAGAGCCGCCGAGGGCAGCCCTGGGGGCTCCCGAGCGAAGTGAACCCCACCCTCCCCCTCAGGAATCGTGGGGGGTAGGGGTAGGGTTCGCATGTGGCCCCCTAGATTGGCGGCGACCCCGCCGCGGACGTTCAAGGTTGAACGCCGCCAGCGGCCCAGGGTCGGCCTGCACGGAGCGATCGGGCGATCGAGAAGCCGCCGCTCGTTCCAGGTCGAACGATGCCCGCGGTGCCGGGAGCCAGCGCCCAAGTCGTAGGGGTGGGTGGGGGGTAGGGGCAGGGTTCGCACGTGGCCCCCTAAAGCCCAGCCACCGCGCAGGCGAGGGCAGAGCAGCGGACCCCAGCAGCGAACGGAGCGAGGCGCCGGCCGGCGCGCGGCCCCCCATTTCGCGCCGCGAGGCGCCCCCCCGTCTCTGCAGGCGGCCGCGTGGGGAAGGGGGCGAGGACGAATTCAGCCCGCAGAGTGAGGAGGAATTCCCCCCCCTGGCGCAGACGGGGCAGGAGCTGGGGAGCTGGGATACGTGGGCGGCGCGAGCGCGCACCTGAGAGCATCCCACCCCCGCAGCCGTGATGGTAGGTGGTGAGATGCGCACGCGCGTTCTCGAGTGAACGCCCCTCCTCCTCATCTCCCTTACAGTCGAACCCAAATGGGGGAGGACGTCGATGCCGCGGTCGAGGCCGCGGGCCGCGGAAGGGAGAGGTGCGGGGGGAGGAAGATAACGCAGGAGGGCGAGGAGGAGCACGAGGAGGAGGAGGAGGAGGAAAACGAGGAACTGGAGGAGGAGGAGGAGGAGGAGGAGGAGGAGGAAGGAGGGTACACGATTGCGGTCTGTTCGAGAAGGATGCCCACAGGGTCTTCGTGTTTGTTGGGTGCTCTTGCGAATCCCGGGGCTCGGATGTTTTGCGTGGTCTAGCCCGCGGAGGGCCTCATGTTCTTGAAGGATGTTCGTATGTCCTAGGTCCGACTGTATCATCCTCCTCTGCCAGTGCTTCCCCCTCGTCATCCATAATCACCGCCATCATCGCCATTATCGTCCTCATCGTCATCACCCCGCTTTTTTGCACCATAATCAGCATTACCCTGAGTATGCTCCTCCTCCTCCCCCTCCCCCGGCGGCAAAGAAAAACAAAACCACCAGGGAAGCCATAAAAAAGAGACAACCATAATCCCATAATGATGGTGATGACGTTTGAACTGGAGGAGGAGGAGGAGGAGAAGAGGAGGATAAGGATGGAGAAGAAGGAGGATCACTACGAGGGACGAGTTGGAGAGACGAGAAAGGACAGAGCAGGAGGAAGAGGAGAAGGAGAAGCAGGCGGATGGAGTTGTCTGACAGTGCGCACTGCAGCCGCGACCACTCCACCAGGGAGGGAGACCCCCAGGCTTCGTATTCGGCGCCACCGCCGGCCATCCAGATTTGGAGGCCGCCATCGGCGCTTCCTTCGAAACCTGCTGTGTGGCATCCGTGCGGTTGGCGTCGCCGGGGCGAGAACCCAAGCGTGTGTTCGTGGTTCGACTCCCGCTTTATGTGAGGAGGAGGACGGGGAGGAGGAGGAAGAGCAGGAGGAGGAGGAGGAGGAGGAGGAGGAGGAGGAGGAGGAGGAGGAGGAGGAGGAGGGGGGAGGGGGGAGGGGGAGAGGGAGGAGGGGGAGGAGGAGGGGGAGGAGGGGAGGGGAGGAAGGGGAGGAGGAGAGGGGAGGAGGAGGAGAGGGAGGAGGAGGAGGGGAGGAGGGAGGAGAGGAGGAGGAGGAGGAGGGGGAGGAGGAGGGCCGCCGTCTATGATTATAATCAAACGTCCTCTCGCTTGCTGGAGGCCTGCGCTCCGCGTGGCGCGCCAGCCGCGCTGTCAGGGTCATCCCCTGGGCGACGGCAGGCTGGGTTCGATTCGGTTCCTCCCTTCTTCTTCTCCGCCTCCGAAGGGCTTCGCCTGGGCAGCCTGCCGTGGGGGCAGACTTCGTGGCCGACGCCCAAGCCGCCTGTTTTGCGTGTCCTCCTCCTCCTCCTCCTCCTTCTCCTCCTCCTCCTCCTTCTCCTCCTCCTCCTGCTCTCCCCTCTGTCTTATCTCTCCTCCTCTTCCTCCCCCCTATTCTCCCTCTTCGAGCTTTGCATTTGCGCCCTTTGAGCATTTGGTTCTTTGCCGCCCATCCACCGTTCTACGAGGCTTCCCGCAAGCAGGATCCGACAGATAACCGATTTGGCTGCCCGACACTGGCCAAAGCGGAGGTGTGTGTTTTTTTTCATGTGGCGGGAGCCGCAGGCTACAGCATGCATTTTACCTCCACCTTGTCGCGTTGCAAAAAAATCAAGCGACCGGCTTTTGTTTGTCACTCTCGGCCTCTAGGGTCCCCCACCGGGCCCCAGGGCCGTCAAGAACGACGAAAATTCGGTCGCGGGGAAAGGGTCAAGACCTACGCGGGTCCGCATTATAAAAGAACATGACGTCGAGGGTCTGGGTAAGAAGGAAAACGGCACGCCAGCAGGTGCTTCACGGGTACGTCTAGTTTCCCCGATGGCTTCGGAGATTTGTTAGGGACCAACCGGAGTTGAATACGTTGGGGGCGTTGGTTAAGGAGTCTACCCGGGAGGTTTCTGGACGTTTTTTTACCTGATGATGGCGGCGGTGATAGCAATGGCCAAGCTTCAGTTGACGTTTCAGTGGCTTTCAGACCCTGTATTCCTGCTCCACGGGTTTCTTGTCCACTGCCGTCGCCGCGTCGATGGGCAGTGTGCCTTCGTGTTCCTTTTCTGGCCTGCTGTCTCCTGGACGTGCATGTCGACATGACGAGCACGGTCGGGCTCGTGGTCGAGATAGAGCAGCTGTGGGTGTCCCCCCAGCCGAGGTGATCAAATCTGGGAAGTGGACGAAGAAGGCCGCGTGTGACTACAACAACGGTGCCGCGAGGCCCCTGCCCGTAATGGATATGGTGGGCAGGTGTCGCTTGCGCCCGCTGTTGAATCAAGCAGTTTGGTTGTGACATTGGTGGCCTCTGCCTTTGCTCAGAGGAGGGCGCGACGTGGAGGTGGATCGGCGCGGGTTGCTTTCGCAGCGTGAAAAAATGCGCACATCCATTACACCTGAACGTACGACCACCTTAAAGTGATGCAAGCACACACGTTAATGGATTGGCCACCTGAACGTACAACCACCAGCACATCCGCCTCGCACTGAGTGTACACTCACCAGGACTATCGTGCCTCAGTCCCTCGCTGGTGTCCCGCAGGACCAGCTCCTGAGGTTCCGAGCCGCCCAAATGGGTTCGAAGTAGATGGGGTCATTGGATCGCGCCGCATCGCCAATGCATCAGCGATGTTGCTTGATGTGGAGCCCTACTGTCTTCACGCCGACGTCGCCGATGCATAGCCGACATCGCGAATGACGTCACCGATGCATCAGCGATGCATCGGCGATGTGTCGCGATCCTTCGACCCCATCAACTTCGACTCCATGTGGGCGGCCTCCAGGGGTGCGACCCTCGAACTTTGCAAGCGGAGGATGGGTGGAACCTTGCCTCCAAGGGCGTGCCTCCCTCTCCACGCCGCAGCAGGGGGAGGTTGCACAGGCCGTCACACGCCCGCCTCGCAGCCGCAGATAGCTTGCAGCAGGGCGCCTCCGCCTGTGCGCACGCGTACGAGACAAGGCCGTGTGGTACGCGCTCGCCCGTAATTTTGCGAGTGCCGTTGCAAAGGCGCATGCAACCAGGCATGCATCCCGTATCGTTGTTGTGGTCACGGCGGGGCGGTCGGTTTAGGTGTATGGCTTTCGGCGCGATCGTTTGGGTAGTCCACTTGTGTATGCGCGTGTGTATCGCCTCCCTCAAGACAGCTCCAAGAGGGCCCCAAGAGAGGTACGATACGGCCCAAAGACGGCCCCAAGAGCGCCCAAGAGCCTCCAAGAGCGCCCCAAGAGGGGCTCAAGAGGCGATCGTTGGGGCTCCCGAGAGGGGGAAGTAATTGGAGCTCCCAGGGTGTTGCAAGCGGGGTATATGGGTGCCAGGAAGAGTTGCAAGGCATGTCGTACTGCAGTGAGGAGGCGACGTGGGGCGAGGCACTGAGAGGCCAGAGACAAGCTTGCAGACGGCCAGGTGCCCGAGCACACTCGTGTACTACTCTTAAGTCGGGCACGTCCCTCTACAGGAGGAATATGCAAAAATGGTATTACATAAATAAAAAAATCTGGGGACGATGTTTTGAGTGTTGTTTGACAACGCTTAAGCATTATTTAGTAATTGTTGATTGTTCATCCAAAATCCGCCTATAGGGGGACACGCCCGACCTAATACTACTGGTGCCAGATCCCCCGCATGTGACTGTGCGTAAGAACTGCGCTCTATGCATATATATATAAACATATATATACATACATACATTCATTCATACATACATACATACATACATACATACATACATATACATACATATACATACATACATACATACATACATACATACATGTGTTTCTCTCTCCGTCCCTCTCACTCTGTCTCTCCCTCTCTTCCCCTCACTCTCTCTCTCCCTTTCCGTCTGGTTCTCCTTTTGTGTTTCCCTCTATCGCAGCGCCTCTGTCTCTCTCTCTCGCTCTCTCGTTCGTTGTCTCTCTCTCTCTCTCCCGCCCCTCCCCCTCTCGAACAGACTCGCCCGACAGTGTCCGCGCGAGGCGGCGCTCCTTCCGTAGAGTCGTTGGCCCGCGGCTCCTGGGATCTCGCACGGTGGGCGCCCGCGCCCGCCCCGTGCGGCGGCTGGGGGCCTCCCAGGCCTCCGCCACGTGGGCGCACCGCGCACGCCCCGTGCGCTGGCTGGAGCCCGCGGGCCCTCGCCTGGTGAGCGCCCCGGCCATCGCGCCAGCATCGCAGAGCCTCGGGGGCGGCAAAGAGGGGGGTGAGGACCAGGGGGGGGGGATATCATGGCGGGGGCCATAATATTTCCCCAGATTTCATGGCGCCTCTTCTTGTTTCATTGCGTCCCTGGCCCCCCCGCTGGGCCGCGCACATGCCGCCGGCCATGATTTGCACCCCTCCCCCTCTTGGACGCCCCCCCCTTGGCCGGTCCCGAAGAGCGGATTTCGTTCGGAAAACGATGGAATGGGCCCGGAGTGTCCTGGAGAATTTCGTTCCAGATTTCGAGGTGGATGTCGTGCGGTTGTTTTTTTTTTCGGGGGGCCAGAAATGAAGACTAAAAACGAATCCACGCGAAAATCACGTCGCTTTTCACTCGCCGTTTCGGGGTTTTGCATTGGCAGAAATCCACGCACAAATCCGGTGCAGCACGTCTGCAAGGTCGGTGCAGTGACCCTGGCCCACCCTCGTGCCGGTCTTGTTGGGTTTTTTTCCATTGCCACCACCAGAAGTCGGAGGGGGAGGGGGTCCTCCTCCTCCTCCTCTTCCTTCCTCCTCCTCCTCATCCTCCCCCTCCCTCCCCCCTTCCAGCTTATGGTGGCGGTGGTGGCGAACAGGCCCGTCAGGCCTGTGCGTTGCCTGGCAGCTCCCGGTCTTCGCTCGTGCAGGCCGGTGCGTTGCCAAGCGGCTCCCCAGGCTCGCCCGGCTGCGACGCCCGTGGCCGCATCGTGCCCGCCCCGCGTGTTGGCTGGCGGCTCGGGATGCGCAGGTCGCATTCGCAGCACAGGTGGCACCGCGCCTTGCGCCACACCGCGCGGCACAGACTGCACGACGCAGAGTCCACCACCCAGATGCTCCTTCCGAATGGAAGGTCGATTCCACCATCCGCCAGACGTACCTGGCCCCTGGGACACTGCAAATCACATATGAATTCGGTGAATCGTTAACTTTCCATGTGAATTCGTACCATCCCAGCCAAAGCGGTACCGACACCCCCTACAATGCGCGCGCCTTCGTGTGTTTCAAGAAATCATGTATCAAGAGTCCCGTGCGAAAAAATAGTAATACAAAACATCACACGCGCGGACATGCCAAAACGAATCAAAAATATTAGTGATGCAAGCATATCAACATCGAAACATCAGAAGTCCGATGGCGACTCACCAAAAGTAACGCGGTGCGTCCGCATTAATTTATAGGCCCAATGCACGAGTCTGCATCAAGTAAGACCATGCGGGCCACGCGCGCGCCGAGATCTGTTCAGAACCATCATTGATCGAAGCATCTCAAGACAGAGCTCTGCAAGGGCACATCTAAAACGACAAATGCTTTTCAATACAGAGTCTGCCAGGTTTCTTGCATTTCTGCGCGCGCACTTCTTCACGACCACCCTCAACAGTGCAATCGCAGCACCGCCGTTATCGTCGTCTCCAATCGTCGCCGGTCCCGTCGTCATCATCAGCCAATCACCAGCATCCGCGCCGTCATTGGCCTTGCCGTCGTCACCGTCATCACCGCCACCACATCATCATTGGCGCCGTTGCCAACGTCATCATGACACCGCGCCCGCCCGAGTGACCGACCTGCACTGCAGCGCCCGCGCGCCAGCAAGAATTAGGAACGATTCCCCCCCACACGGTCTTATCACGCCAGCCTCGCGTATTGCAATTCAGATATGAGTCTGCACCATCATCCATTTTCAACATGAATTAATTACTTTCATCCCAATCATGCCCGTCAAATAATACTATGCGCGCACAGTCGTTCATCAAAAACCAAACATGTCCAAAACTCGTCCGCACGCGCACGGCGTCGCGCGCGCATGCCAGAATCCCCAAAAAACCTGGGGACCCGTAAGGGTTTCGAGATCGAGGTGTCCGAAAGCATGTGGGTTTTGCATTCTGGCTTTCACACAAAGGTCTGCGCGCGCGTTCTTGCGAGTTCTTACGACCATTCGGTCTTCAGCATGTTCATCAAATGCGACCACGCGGGGTGCTCGCACGCGCATGTCGAAATCAGTCGAACGCCTTTGCGTGCTTGCTGGGAGGGAGCGAACCCTGTCAATAAGACAATGCGGGCCACTCGCGCGTGTCGGCCGCGCGCGCATGCCGAAAGCCTTCAACCTTCATCATCGACACGTGGACACCATCATCGCCATCGGCGTGATCAGCGTCGTCGCCGTCATTAGCCTTGCCGCCGTCATCGCCATGATAGTCGCGTCTGCCGTTGTCGACGTCGCCATGATACTGCGCCCGCCCGAGTCCCCGATTCGAACTGAAACGCCCACGCGTCAGCGCGGCTTGCGAGACGCGGTGGGAAGTGCCAAGCGGTCATCACCACCGCGGCCAGCCAGCGCCAAGCAGTCGACGCAGTCGTCTCCGCATCGGTTTTGCAAGCCAAGTTGCGGGTGGGTGGGTGGGGTAATTGCGCGAGCAATGGCGCTGGCAATTTCAAGTCCGGCCAAATGAATTGCACCACCTAGATTGCACAACCGATGTTGCACCACATGGTCCCGCATGAATTGCACCGTATTGCTTGCTAGAATCACATTGTTTGGGGCCCCCGCTAGCTAGCATGCGAAAACCCAATGGTTGTCAAGGACGATGTGTCAGAATGTCTGGATGTATGCGGGCGCGCAGTTTCCCACCACTCACATTAGCACGATTTCCATCATCACCATCGTCATTGGCCTCATCATCAGCACCACCACCGCCATATTCATCATACCACCACCATCAACCAGCATCGCCAGCAGCATCACCACCATCACCATCATATTCTGGATAATCGCCGCCGCCGTCATCGTCGATGTCGTCGCCCTCGTCATTTTGTTGCGCGCAGGCATTGCACGATCATCAGCATCACCAGCAGTCCGCATCAGATTCGCCAGCGTGATCGTTGCTGCCACCGCCAGCGTCATCACCATCAGCTGCATGGCCATCACCGCAGGCGTCGTCGACATCATGTCGTCCAATGTCGTCACCACCGGCACCAGCGTCATCACCACTGTCATCTCCATCGTCGTTGGCGTCGCGGCCGTTACCATCGCCACCACCAGTTCGCCACCTGCTGGACGAACTTGCCTGCGCAGTTGAGTTTCCCGCGCCCGCTCCCTCGTTGAGAGCATGACCAAAGGAGTGTTGCCAACAAGGTGTGGATGGGAGGATGGGGTGTTTGCGCGAGCGGTGGAGTTGACGACGCCAATTCCACCGCGCAGATTGCAGCACATGGAGCGCGCGGCGAGAGTGCAAGAACGCATTGGTTGAGGTCCAAGCTGGCAGACACACGTAAGACTATAGATGATAAGTGTGTACGTATGTGTATACACTTGTACATTCTATGTACATATGTATACATGTCCGCTGGCCACCTTGTGGAGCCATCAGGCTGCGAGGCTGAGGGTTGCAGTACCCTGCACCAGTTCCAGCTTCCAGTTTCCAATGTTACAGTCCTGCTTCCTGCTTCCGATTGTAAACTGTTAAAGTCCGCGCGGGAGGGGGAGCCCCAAACCAGAATTCCCCCCATATCCTAAGATGGGGTTCTTGTTATCACTTGGACGGCGCCGACTCCAACCAGAACCAGAACCCCTCCTCTCCTCCCTCCTCCTCCTTCCTCTCTTCCTCCTCAAACTTACGCATGCACAGATTTACCCTTACTCAGACTCATGTATACTCAGACCTAGTCATACCCAGACTTACTCAAACTCAGACTTTCTCATGATCATTTTCATTTATATTCAGACCAAGTCATACTCAGACTTACTCATACTCAGTCTCGCTATCCTAAGATGGGGTTATTGTTATCACGTGGACGCCTCCTACTCTTCCTCCTCCCTCCTCTTCTCGTCCCCTCCTCTTCTCGTCTCCTCCTACTCGGACTCACTCATACTCAGACTTACTCAGACCCTGACTTACTCATACACAGACTGTCTCATACACAGACCTACTCATACTCAGACCTACGCATACTCAGACCTTCTTTCAGCCTGGCTTACTCAACACCCTTCAGATTCGGAGGATGTCTCAGGCGGGGCGCTGGTTTCAGCACCCCTGAGGGGAGCCGCCAGGGGTGTTTGCACGGGCTCGTTCGCGGCCATGCTGTGGGGATGTTTCAAGTGGTTTGCTTGTTTTCAGGTTCAACCGCCTTCGCTTGTAGAGCAGACTGTAAGGATGTCTGGTTGGTTTCAGCACCCCTTAAGGGGAGCCGCCAGGAGTGTTTTCACTGGCCCGTTCGCGGCCATTCTGTGGGGATGTCTCAGGCGGTTTGCTTGTGTTCATGCTCAACATTTTCTGCTTTCAGATCAGATTGTGAGGATGTCTCAGGCGGGGCGCTGGTTTCAGCACCCCCAAGGGGAGCCGCCACGGGTGTTTGCACGGGCCCGCTCGCGGCCATGGTGTGGGGATGTCTCAGGCGGTTTGCTTGTTTTCATGATCAACATCCGTGGTTGGCATAGGAGGTGTTGAGGATGTCTCAGGCGGGGCGTTGGTTTCAGCACTCCTAAGGGGAGCCGCCAGGTGTGTTTTCACAGGCCCGTTCGCGGCCATGGTGTGGGGATGTCTCACGCGGTTTGTTCGCTGTCATGCTCAACACCCTTCGCTTGGAGAGCCGAGTGTGAGGATGTCTCAGGCGGGGCGCTGGTTTGAGCACCCCTGAGGGAAGCCGCCAGGGGTGTTTTCATTGGCCCGTTCACGGCCAGGTTGTGGGACTGTCTCAGGCGGTTTGCTTGTTTTCATGTCCAACATCTTTGGCGTTCAGAGCAGAGTTTGAAGATGTCTCAGGCGGGGCGCTGGTTTCAGCACCCCTAAGGGGAGCCGCCAGGGGGTAGGACACGGGCCCGTTCGCGGCCAGTCTGCGGGGATGTCTCAGGCGGTGTGCTCGTCAGTGCGCTCATGAACGGACGCTCACGATGGCATGACATAAAACATGAGATGCACAGATGGGGAGCTCCACGCAGTGAGTAGTTTTACCACGCCCTGGGCGGGCTGTCTGAATTTGCGGGGGGGTGGGCGTGGGACACATACAAATGTTGGAGATTCGCGCCCCCGAGGCCATAGTTCATCGTAAAGTATGCGATGGTCGCGCCCCCGAGGCCTGCAACCGTCGCAAAGTATGCAATTCGTGCGTCCCCGAGGCAACAAACCCTCGTACATGACACAAGATTTGCGCCCCCGAGGCCACGAACCTTCGCAAGGTATACAAAGCTTGCGCCCCCCGAGGCAACAAACCTTCGTAAAGTAATCAAGCTTTGCGTCCCCGAGGCAACGGACCCTCGTCACTTCTACGGTACTCCCGTCCCTGAAGCCAGAATCCTTCGTAAAGTATGTAATAGTCGCGCCCCCGAGGCCACACACGCTCGCAAAGTGTTCGATACCCGCGTTCTCGGAGCAACAATCCGTAGTATAGTAAAGTATGCAATGGTCGCGCCCGCGAGGCCACAAACCTTAACACGTTGTTTGATCCGTGCGTCTCCGAGGCAACAAACCCTCGTAACGTATTCGATATGCGCATCCACGATGCCGTAGACCCCGCACATTACGCCGTATTCGTATTGCCGAGGCCAAGAGTGATCCAAGGCTCCCGAAGATGGTTCCAAGACGGCCCAAGAGGGCCCCAAGAGGCCCCAAGAGCGCTCCAAGAGGCCTCCCGAGAGAGCCCCAAGAGGTCAACATCGCTGATGTTACAAGGGATTTTGGAGGAGTTTGGTGTTCTCGTATTTCTCGGCCTTCCGACGCTCCAAGATGGCTGAAGAAGCTCCCAAGACCGCCCCAAGACAGCCCACGGCGCCTCCAAGAGGGCCCCAAGACTGCCCGAGAGGGCTCCAAGATGGCCCCAAGATGGCCCAAGAAGCGCCCCGAGAAGCCCCCAGGAGGCCCCGAGAGGCCCCAAGAGGCGCCCAAGATGCGCCAAAGAGGCATCCAAGAAGCCCAAAAGATACCCACGAGGCCCCGAGAGGCCCCCAAAAGGCGCCGAAACCGCCTCCAAGAGGCCCCCGAGAGCCTCCCCACGACACCCCAACACATATACAAGAGGCCTCGGACCCACAACCCGGACACGGTGGCAGGATGGGCCGAAGGCCATTAGGAGAACGCCAACGTCTCAATATGCGTTGATGATTCCTATCCGCCCCCGCATGATGTTCCCAGATGTGCCAAGGCAACGCCGAGACGCACCGACGCGATTCTGACGCATCCCATTATGATAGAGAGGGGGCCGGCGGCAGGGGGCGAAGCCCCTACGGATATGTGTATATGTAAGTATGCACAGATCTATAACTATATGTGTGCATGTGTGTCTTGATCTATACATACATGTGTATATGTTGGGTCTCCCTCGTCCACTCTCTCGCTGTCTCTTTGTTTATGTGTCTCTCTCTCTCGTGCTCTCTCCCTTACTCTATCTCCCTCTCTTCTTGGTTCTCTATTTGTCGTCCGCCCTCATCTGCGGCACTCGAACACGCCACGCATACTACCAGGGTGAGATGCCGGAAGACGTGCGAGGAGTGCAAGGTGCGCCCCTGGTTGGCGGTCAACGGAATGCAGCCGCGAGAGCACGAGAGGCAGTCTGAACAGGCGGAGTCGAAGGGAGTGGGGTGACGAGGAGGATGAGGAGGAGAACAAGTAGAAGGGGTAGGGGGGCTAGATGGATGCGGATGGGGGAAGGGGCAGGAGAAGGAGAAGGATGACGGTGAGGAGGGACAGTAAGATGACGTTACTGCTGAGGAGGAGGAGGAGGAGGAGGAGGAGGAGGAGGAGGGGGGAAGGAGGAGGAGGATGAGGGGAGGGGGAGGAGGAGGAGGAGTACGGGGAGGAGGAGGATGAGGAGGAGAAGGAGGAGGAGGGGAGGGGGAGGAGGAGGAAGAGAAGGAGGAGGAGGAGGGAAGAGGAGGAGGAGGAGGAGGGGAGGGCAGGAGAAAAGGCAGGACGAGGAGCAGAAATATAGAGAAGAAGAGCAGCAGCAGGCGCAGGAAGAAGAGTAGAGGCGGTGATGGAGGGATGAGGGCGAAGGATGAGCGAGGAGGACGTGGAGCAGGATGAGCGGAAGCAGGGGCAATTGGAGATTCGCATCGCAGGGGCGGTCGTCCGCACGAAGCGCAGGTGAGTAGCGACACGTGCGCAGACTCCTCTTGCATCGAGACGTTCATGGCGATCTCAGGCGTCCGCGCATTATGTTGTTCCTCCCTTCGCCTACCTCATCACCAGTATTTTCCGCCTTCCTTCGTGTTATCTGTGGCATGGCGTGTCACCATGACCATCATCATCATCGTCATCAGCATCATCATCAGCATCAGCATCAGCATCCTCATCTTCACCACCATCAGCATCAACATCATCAAAACCACCCCCATCATCATTACGCACCTCACCGAGCGCGTCCCGCGACTCGCAAAGTTCATACTCGCAAGCGTCCGAAAACACACACACACATACACAGACACACACACACATACACACACATGCTTGCTTCGATGTAATGGATCGTGAATCCCCAACGGCGGATCCAGGCCATGTACGAACAGCTCCTTTGCGAGTAGGTGGAACGCGCTTGCCTCGTACCACCATCCTCCCGACCACCACCACCACCATCACCACCACCACCACCGTCCTCATCGCCACCATCGTCAGCACCGTCACCACCACTACCACCATCACCACTACCACCATCACCACCACCACCACTACCACCATCACCACCACCACCATTACCACCATCACCACCACCACCATCATCACCACCGGCACCACCGTCCTCGTCACCACCACCATCACCACCACCACCACCACCACCGTCCTCATCGCCACCACCGTCAGCACCATCACCACCACCACCACCACCACCACCACCACCACCTTTCACCACCACCACCGCCACCGCCACCACCGTCCTCATCACCACCAATCGTCAGCAGCAGCACCACCCCGGCCCGGCTCGGAGGCGCCTCGGCTGGCCTTTGCGCGGCCCCTCCCCCGCCGCGAAGCCCGCCCTGAGCGGGGCGCCGCGGCCCTGCGTCGGGCGGGGCCCCCCGAGATCCTCCGGAGGGTGCCACAGGGGGGTTTCGGGGGAGGAGGGTTTCCAGAGAGCCGGGGGCCTCGGATCCTCGTCGAAACGGGGGGTGCGAAGCCCATGGGGGACCCCTCCTGGAAGACCCCCTCCCCCAAAACCCCCTTTTGGAACCCTCCGGATCCCGGCGCCTCGATCTGCCTCGAGCCGGACGGGTTCGCCCAGTGCCGGGCCGCAGGCCCCCCTCGACTGCACGAAAGAGTGACCCTTCGCCGGAGTGGCCCGTGGTGCGGGTCCGCTGGGGCCCCCGATCGCCGAGCGCGAGACGAGCTAGCAGCGTCCTGCGCACTCGGGTTTGGCCCCCCAGCGGCCACCCCAAGAAGCTTCGCACCAAGGGTCACTCTTATACCCAGGGTCACTCTTGCGGGTAGCCGACCCCTCACTCAAGGGAAGAAAACCCACCCGGACCCGACAACTGGCGGTTACTGAACGGCCCTGGGCGGTCCCCGAGGGAGGGAGGAAGGAGGAGGAAGGAGGGAGAAGGGAGAGGAGGAGGGAGGAGGAGGAGGAGGAGGAGGAGGAGGGACGAGGAGGGAGGAGGGAGGAGAGAGGAGGAGGAGGAGGGGAGGAGGAGGAGGGAGGAGGGAGGAGGGAGGAGGGAGAAGGGCCTCGCCGCAGGCTCGCACCGCGCAGGGTGGGCGGGGGGTGGCCGCGCACCCCTCTTCGCCGGGGCGCGCGCTCGTGCGCTCGGCGTGTGGCGTGTGGCGGTGCGTGCTGCCCCCCCCCGTGGCGACGGAGGCCTTGCTGGCTGCCCTTCGCCCGCAGAGGTCCCCCTCCTCCTCCTCCTCCTCCTCCTCCTCCTCCTCCTCCTCCTCCTCCACCTCCTCCTCCTCCTCCTCCTCCTCGTCCCCCTCACCCTCCTCCCCCTCCTCCTCCTCCTCCTCCTCCTCCTCCTCCTCCACCTCCTCCAGCTGGACTTCCTGCTGAGTGCGATGGGCTCGGAGGGCGCAGACTGAGATTCGCAGGCCTAGAGGTTGACACCAGCACCAATATCGGTGGTGTGCCTCCACCGAGGGAAGAAGATCCTCATCCGCTTCCTCCTCCTCCTCCTCGTCCTCCTCCATTCCTTCTACTTATAGATAACTTCTTCCTGTCGTACCCCGAGGCCAGTTTTTAGAGCGGGCCGGGCGTTTCGCCTGAGACTTCCCTACCATTTACGATTCTGAAGTTTCAAAAGTAGCAACAGCTTCACAGATGAAGGCCGGGTCGTTTTCAAAATGTCGCTCTCGCCATAGCGCCGCGCACATGCGTTTCAAAATTTAGCAAGAGCTTCACGGATTGAGGGCGGGTGGTTTTCAAGATGTGGCGCACATGTGTGCAAAGAATTGCAAGAGCTTCGCGGATTGAGGGCGGGTCGTTTTCAAAATGTGGTTCTCGCTTCAGCGCCGCGCACATTCGTTTAAACAAATTTCACGAATTTCACGGATTGAAGGCAGATCCTTTTCAAAATGTGGTTCTCGCTTAGCGCCGCGCACATTCGTTCTCAAATTTGCAAGAGCTTCACGGATTGAGGGCGGGTCGTTTTCAAAATGTGACTCTCGCGTTGGCGCCGCGTACATACGTTTTAAAAAGTATGAGAGATTCACGGATTGAGGGCGGCTCTTTTTCAATATGTGGCTCTCGCTTTAGCGCGGCGCACATTTGTTTTTATTTAAAATGAAAGAGAATCACGGATTCCCATGATCAACGTATTAGCCATGGTGTTTTGGAAGGATTCAGGATGATGCGGGCGCAACAGTTATGTTGATTCGCGGTGTTGACGTCCTAAAAATGGCGTCCTGGCACGTTTCTGGATCGTCACGACGCAGCAGTCAGGTTGATACGTGGCGTTGAAATCCCGAGAACAATGTTTTGACACGTTTCAGGATCTTCAAACGGTTGTCTTCCAACGAGGCAGTTCCTTCCATGGAAATGAACCGTTGTAGAGGCCTATCAAGAGGGAGCTTAGAGGGAGGGTCAATTCAAACATCGTTGATGACTCTTGGGTTTGCACTGGTCCTCCTCCTCCTCCTCCTCTCCCTCCTCCTCCTCCTCCTCCTCTTCCCCCTCCTCCTCCTCCCCCTCCTCCCCCCTCCTGTTTCTCCTCCTCTTCCTTCTCCTCCTACCCCTCCTCCCCCCTCCTGTTCCTCCTCCTCCTCCTCCTCCTGCTCCTCCTCCTCCTCCTCCTGCTCCTCCTCCTCATCCATCCTGCTCGAAAGCATGCTGATCGGCGACTACAGCCGGGGAAGCGTAAGGCTCGAGTGCGCCGGAATTCATGCGTGCCGACGATTTTTGACGGACCCGTCCTGGATTTTGATGGGCCAGTTGTCGTGGGATGTCTGCCGTTGTAGGAGCCTGTGAAGAGGAAGCTTGGAGGGAGGGTTCACTCCAACATCGTTGATGACTCTTGGGTTTACACTGGTCCTCCTCTCCATCCCCCTTGACCTACTCCTCATCATCCTCCCCCTCCTCCCTATCATCCCCCCCCTCTGTCCCCCATCCTGCCCCCGCCCCTTGTGTTGGTTATACCTATCGTAGTACTCATGCTTAGCAGTCGCACTAGCATTGCGATTAGTATGCAAAGTAGGGTTAGTTGTATTGTTAGTTTCCGTGTCACTATGAGTACCATTATCTCCTTTGCATCTTCACTAGAATGTTACCTGTTCTCAGCAGTGGCTGTAATTTTTGTTGGTATTCACGCTGCTGGCAATATTCGTAATAAACGTAGTAGGACTCCTCTTCCACTGTCTTCTCCATGTTATGATCATGACTGTTAGTCTGATTAGTCGTTTGGTTATAACTCGTAGTAGGCGTAGTCGTCGTATTAGTAGTAGCAGAAGAAAAAGACCTAGAAGTAGTAGCAGTAGTAGTAGTAATCGTAGTTGTAGTAGTCGTCGCCGTAGTAGCAGTACGAGTAGTAGTAGTGGTAGTTGTAATAGTAGCAGCAGTAGCAGTAGCAGTAGCAGTAGCAGTAGCAGCAGTAGTAGTAGTAGTAGTAGTAGTAGTAGTCGTTGTCGTTGTAGTTGTAGTTGTAGTTGTTGTTTTGTTGTAGTAGTAGTAGTAGTAGTAGTAGTAGTAGTAGTAGTGGTAGTAGTAGTAGTAGTAGTAGTAGTAGTAGTGTAGTAGTAGTAGTAGTAGTAGTAGTAGTAGTAGTAGTAGTAGTAGTAGTAGTAGTAGTAGTAGTAGTAGTTGTAGTTGTAGTAGTAGTAGTAGTAGTAGTAGTAGTAGTAGTAGTAGTAGTAGTAGTAGTAGTAGTAGTAGTAGTAGTAGTAGTAGTGGTAGTAATAAGAGTGTAGTCGTGGCGGTAGTCGTCGTCTTAGTAGTTGTAGTAGTAGTAGTTGTTGCAGTAGTTGTAGTAGTATCAGTAGTAGTAGTAGTAGTAGTAGTAGTAGCAGTAGTAGTAGTAGTGGTGGTAGTAGTAGTAGTAGTAGTGGTGGTTGTAGTAATAATGGTAGTAGTAAGTAGTCGTAGTAGTAGTACCGGTGGTAGTAGTAGTAGTAGTAGCAGCAGCAGTAGTAGTACTAGTAGTAGGAGTCGTATTCGTAGTCGTGGTCGTAGTAGTAGTAGTAGTAGTCGTCGTCGTAGTAGTAGTAGCCGTAGTAGTAGCCGTAGTAGTAGTAGTAGTAGTAGTAGTAGTAGTAGTAGTAGTAGTGGTGGTAGTTGTAGCAGTAGTAGTAGTAGTAGTAGCAGTAGTAGTAGTAGTAGTAGTAGCAAAAGTAATCGTAGTACTCGTAGTAGTAGTAGTAGTAGTAGTAGTAGTAGTAGTAGCCGTACTGTTCTTATCATTGTATCCGTAGCAGTCGTATCAGTGGGATTAGTATGATGATTCTCCATATCCAAGTGATGGGGTTCTTGTTAGTACCAGCCGCGCCGAGAAGGAACACCTTACACCTCATCATATACCTTATCAAGTTACGTCGTATCGTCTGTTACGACATGTTATGTCAGGTTATGGCATGTTATAGCATGGTATGGGTGGGTATGCTCTGGTGTGGCATATTATGATATGGTATGGTATGGTATGCTATGGTATGCTATGGTATGATGATACTGGTGGTGATGATGATGGTGATGGTGGTGATGATGATGATGCTGATAATGTCGGAGCAGATTCT